TTTTTCTTTTTCTTTTTCTTTTTCTTTTTCTTTTTCTTTTTCTTTTCCTTTTCCTTTTCCTTTTCCTTTTCCTTTTCCTTTTCCTTTTCCTTTTCCTTTTCCTTTTTCTCCTTCACCAAAATGCTTTGCCAGACATGGAGAAACTGTTGGAACATGGAAAAACTCAGTTCTGCACCTTTTTGCCAACAATGCCTGTGAAGCTGAAGCTCGTTTTGTTGGTTCTTCCTGGTTGGATTGGGATAAACACAAATGAGCAGGTGGAAAACCCTATTGGAAGGTCCATCCCAATCCCTGTGTCACCAGGACGTGGCTGTGGGACCAGTTCATCCCTGTCCCTCTTTTTAAGGCACAGAATTTGGAGTGGCATTAGTTTTCCACCATCTGTGTGAGTGACTTTGCCAAAACCCTTTGCCAAACACGGAGAGACTGGTGGGACGCGGAAAAACGCACTTCTGGACCTTTTGGATTTGATCTGGGAGCCTCTTCGCATCCAAATCCCAAAAAAAGGAGTGGAATTTGGGTCTGATAATAGGCACAGGCTGGGAGGGAGGAGCAGAGCCCTCAGCCCGCAGCAGATCTGGATTTCTGGAGGCACAGCTGGATGTGCTGCATCCCAATTCCGACGGCAAAAAAATGTGGAGGCAAGATGTGCTCCCGGCTCGGAGCTCCCTGAGAAGGGCTGAGTGTGTCTGAGTGATAACTGGGGCTGGGATGGCCTCCTGCAGGACAGGAATGGGATTTGGGATTGCTCTGCTTCCTCTGCTTGGATTTAAAATCCTTCTCCTCCCCAGTGCCAGACGGCAGGAATGTCTCCACCACAAAGCTGGAGCAGGGGGATGGTTTTCCCGAGTCCTGCAGGGCTTCTCCTTGCTCTGCTGGCCCTGTGGATCACAGAAAATGGGAGGGATCCATCCTGGCTTAGGCTGGGTGTTGACAAGGAAGAAATTTGGGATGTTTCCAGCCACCCTGGAAACCCTTCATTGGAAGTTAATCAATACATGTAATGAAGCCAAGGGTGTGATTGGTTTCATCCCAATCCTTGTGGGACCCTTCCAGCTCAGGATATTCCTGAGCCTATGATTCAAGTAGGAAATATGAATCACCCCCAACAGCAGCCCTGGGCTGGGGGGGTTTAATTGGGGGAAATGGGGGGCTCAGGAGGGACCTTCTGGATCCCTACAAGTCCCTGACAGGAGGGGGGAGTGAAAGGATGAGAGGGAATGACCTCAGGTTGGGCCAGGGGAGGGGCAGGTGAGAAATGAGGATTTGTTTTCCCTGCAGGAGTGGTCAGGATTGGAACAAGTGTCCCGGGGTGGTGGTGGAGTCACCACGTCTGGAAGTGTTCCAGAGGCAGCTGGATGTGGCACCCTGGGACGTGGATTGGGGTGGTCGTGCTGGTGCTGGGTTGGACTGGATGGTGGTGAAGGTCTCTTCCAACCTCGATGATTCTGGGATTCTGGGATTTCCTGCTTGTTTCCATGGGAGTTGTGCAGTCACCATCTACCCTGGGGACTTTGGAGCTGAGTCCATCCTGTGGTGTGCTCAGGTTCTGGACTAGACTGTGCTTAACCTTCCACTAGCCCAGGTTGCTCCAACCTGGCCTTGGACACTTCCAGGGATGGGGCAACCTGTGCCAGGGCTTCTCCATCTTCCCATCCAGGAATTCCTTCCCAATGTCCCACCTAAACTTCCCCTTTTTCTGTTTAAATGACCTGGAGGGATTCATTTGCTGGTGAAGGAAAGATGAAATGCATAACCTGGTTGGAGTATCTTTCAAAATTATGGTGTTGTCAGAGAAGGGAGATGCTGGGAAGGCTGGGACATCATTCCCAGAAAAAACAATCACCAGCCCAGCTCCAAAGACTCCAGGACACTTCACCCGTTCCCGCTCCCCTGCTCCACCTGGGCTTTCACAAGTTGCAACCAACTCTCAGGGAAAAGGGTTGTGGATCATCAGAGCTTCCTCCTCCCTGCCCTGTCCCTCTGCCACCGCTCCCTGCTCCCAGCTGGAATGGTTTAGAGCCAGGAAAAACCGCGCTGCAGGATGGCTTTCCCAAAAGAGGAGTTTCCCAGCTTCTTGACGCAGCTGGGCCGTGGGGAGCAGATGTTGGGAGACAAGGGCTGTCGTGACAATTAATTCCGGGGGGGACACCACAACCTCTCTCTATTAAGAGCAGCCCTGCTTGGAAGGCTTTTAAACAGGAATGAAACATTCCCTCTTCAGAAAGACGCTCCGTGGAATATTTCCACTTGTCAGAAAGACCCTCTCTTTCCACCACCTGCCCTGATCTCTTTTTTAAGTTGCTTTTTGCTCAATTTTGTTGGTTTCTTTATTTTTTTTGTTTGTTTGGTTGGTTTTTTGGTTTGTTTCCAGCTGCTCTGATGAGAAGATTTCCCTTGTGGTGAAAGAGAAGCAAAAGCCAGTCGTGATAGAAATAAATACGTTCCATGGAATTTTTTTATCCCGGGGATTTTTTTTGTCCCAGGGATTTTTTTACCCCGGGGATTTTTTTTTATCTCCACCCCAGGGATTTTTTTTCCTCTCCCAGGCAGGAAAGCTCACCTGGCTTGTGCCTAATAAAAGAAATCCAAAAGGAATGAAATCTCGCCCCGTGCCACATTTCTGGATCGTCGAGGCTGGAACAACACAACTAATAAAAATATCAACAGCAAATCCGGGCCTGCTTTGAATTAAAAAGGGCATTTGCATAAGCAATCACCACTGGTGGAATTCTTCTGCACCAAAGTCAACCACTCGCCCTGGAAGGCAAAGAAGTGCCTCTTTCCAGGCTGTGTGGTCTTGGGCAAACATCTCCCACTCCGTGGCTCAGCTGAGTGGTCTCACACGCTCCACGTCTCCCTCCAGGCCACCCCGTGGATCCAGCAAAGCTCTCCACAGTCCCTGGTGATCATTAACACGTGGTCCTGCTCCCCATCCGTGCCATGAAAGCCTCGGTTCTCCGTGCAAACCTCTCTCCCCAAAATAACCGTGGTCGTTTCGCAACGTCGCCGTATTTTCACTCCCCTCTCCTCTGAGTCATCCGGGGTCAGGGCACTGGCTCCATTTGTCACCCAGCTTTAGCTTGGCCAGCAAACGTGTTTGCAAATAAAGAATCAGCAAGAAGGAATTCGTGGGCTGTGATGTCATCCCTCGGCTCTCCTGCGGGGCCGGAGCATCTTGTGAGTTGTGACAACAGGAATCCTCCTCTCTGCCCTTCATGTGGCTCCTCACTGGTGCAGGATGAGGGGCTGGAGAGTGTGCAGGGAAGGGAAGAGAGCTGGGAAGGGGCTGAGGGAGCTGGGGGGGCTCAGCCTGGAGAAAAGGAAGCTCAGGGGGGACCTTCTGGCTCTACAGCTCCCTGACAGGAGAGGGGAGCAGAGAGGGGGTCGGGCTCTGCTCCCAGGGAACAAGGGACAGGACAAAGGAAAACAACCTCAAGCTGTGCCAGGGGAGGGTCAAGCTGGTTATTCGGGAAAATTTCTCTCTGGAAAGGGTGGTCAGGCCTTGGCAGGGGCTGCCCAGGGAGGTTTGGAGTGCCCAGCCCTGGAGGTGCCCAAGGAAGGCCAGGACTCAGTGCTCTGGGCTGGGGGACGAGGTGGGCATTGGGCACAGGGGGGATCCACGGGCTGGGAGGTTGGAGCACAAACCCAATTGAAATTGGGGAAAGTAAAATTAAATACATGTTGATCCACAGGAGGGGAATTATCTTCAATCCTCTTTAACCAGCCTGTGCTCTGCTAAAAGCATTTTTCAGGTAATATTTTTGCCCTTCCCCTTCCCAGGCTGCCCAGGGCAGGAGTGGGGTATAAGGGTCCAGAAAGCCAAGATGATCCCAGATATGGAGGTGGAAACTGGAATACTTTATTGAACACACGAGTGCAATTTAAGGGTCTTGGGGGCTGGACATATTAATGAGGAGGATGAGTTATGTTAATTAGGGGATGGCTTTATGTTAACTAGAGGATTACACCGGTTTCTACTCCAGTTACACAATTGATTAATATTTCCCTTAACCAGGATTACATGAGGGGGAAGAAAACAAAAGGGTTTCAGCACGATTTGCTAACTCCATCTCAAAGTCCTTCCTTATCTGCTGCAGGAGCCAGGTTAACCCACATGGTTGGTCTGGTGAGGAAGGTCCAGTCCTTCAGATCATGGGATTTCTCTCAGCCTCTGTTGCCCAAGGTTTGCTGCATAGACTCACCAAGTTCCTTTCTGCTCACACCTGGGTTTCGGCTCCTCCACTGGGGTCCCCACCCCTGGAGGGATTCCAAAGCCCTGTGAATGTGGCACCTGGGGACACAGGGCAGTGGTGGCCTTGGCAGTGCTGGGGGGTGGTTGGGCTTGATGACCTTAAAGGTCTTTCCCCACCCAAGTGATTCTGTGATGCTCTGCTGGAGCACACCTGGAGCTGCCACAACTTCCCAGCCGCTGCCCTCTGAGTGTTCCCTTGCCCACTGCTCTGCCCTCCCAGGGGCTGCTGTGCCCTCGGGGTGAATCCCAGGCCAGGAGAGCTGAGGGTGTCAAGGCAGGACAGAAAGGCAGCACCAGCCCCTTCGTGTGACCCGTTCCAGGAGGAGGAGATTGCCCTGTGCTCTCCCGGAGGGCAACGGGGAGCAGCCGAGGTTTTATTTCCCTCCCCCTCATCCCACACTTCCAGGGAGAGAATCTTCCCTCTGCCCTCTGCCAACCTGTGGTGCTTGACAAGACTTTTCTCATGAGCTCCTGGGCTTTGTCACATCCTATGGATGTGCTGGACCAAGGGTGGCTCAGTGCACTCGAATCCAAGTGGGAAGAAGGGAGAATACCTGAAACCTGCTTCGTCCAAGCCAGGTCCTCCTTGCTGGTTGAGTGAAGGGACCATCATTGGCTGCAGCTACTCTTGTGGGGACACAGGACATCCCACTGTGCATGTCCAAGGGAACATCTGGTCAGAAAGGTGACCCTTTCCCTGCTGGAAACGGGAACAGGGAGCCGGGTGAGGGATTTCGGTGTCTGCTGGAGCGTAGAGCACGTGGGAGGTGAGCAGCCCACGCCAGGGCTGATAAATCCAACATTCCCGTCCCCACCCTTCCCTGTGAAACATGGAAAGATTAATGGCAACCAGACCATCAAGTTCTCCTCAGCATTCCGGTTACGAGGTGCCTCTTTTTCCAGATGGTTCCGACGGTCGCCAGGAAATGTTATTATTAAACTTGATAAAAATGGAGGGATTCTTGCAAGGCGCAGCATTTTCCTTGGGTTTAGGCTTTATTTCCAAGGTTCTTGGGGAAGGGAGACGTCTTCTGCTATGAAATGGGGACATGGAGTTCCCAAGGGTAGACAAGGTGAGGCAGGAGGGTCAAGAGTTCCTAGAGCAGAGGTTGGATTAACGAGCTGTGGATCCATTGGACCATCTGATGGGAAAGGTAGAACCTGCTGAGAAGAACAAGGAGCAGGATGGGAAGAGGTGACAGTTGATTGTTTTCTTTGGGATAGACACAAGGAATTCACTGTGTCTGGAGAAAATGGTGTTTCATAGAATTCCCAGAACGGTTTGGGTTGGAAGGGACTTAAAGATCATCTCATTCCATCCCCTGCCATGGGCAGGGACACCTTCCACTAGCCTCCAATCTGGCCTTGGACACTTCCAGGGATCCAGGGACAGCCACAGCTTCTCTGGGAAATTTGGTTCACTCAGAGTTTGGACGCTGGTTGCAGTTGGAACATCCCTTTCAGGTCCACAGTGTTCTCTCACCAGAATAAAAACCAAGCAAAAAAAAAACAAAAACAAAAACAAAGACCCTCCAAGAATTAATGTTTGAACCCAGGGAGAGTGAGAAAAATCCCTGTTCCCATGAACTGAAGCAGATGATTTCCCCCAGAACTGAGCTGTTGTTTCCATGTGACCCAGAACATCTCTCCTCGTTCCCTCCTACCCTCCCATGTGATGTCAGTGGGTTCCAGGGTTTTTTGGGGGTTGTTTCCAGGCTAAGATCTCCCATCCCTGCCTTCCTTTGACCCTCTGTTCTCTACAAAGATGATAATTCACTTGTTGAGGGCTTCTCAGAAGGTCAGGAGGTCTCTTCCACTTGGAGTCATTGGACATCCGCGGCTGTAAAAACATTCCTGGCCCTGCAGTCCATGCCTGGAAGGAATTCCCCCTGCCAAGAGCCTGGATTGCTTTCCAGAGGTGATCTAAGCTTTCTGATGGCCTCCATCAAGTCCTGCAGTGGGGAAGATACCTCCCTGAAGGTCACCAGATGCCACAGATGTCAAAAAGAGGTGGAACTCCCTCAGTCTTCCCACCTTGGCCATCTGGAGGAAGAGTTCTGTGACACCCGTGGGGTCAAACAGCAAATCCTGATGCGAGGTCACAGGGGGGCAGAACCGGGGTCTGAAGGCAGGACACCTTTGGAACACGTGGGGAGACAGGCTGGAAAACCAGCCAGCTCCAGGGAGAGGGGACAGAAAGGATCCACGACTTTTAGGGAACATTTGCCGCGCGAGAACACGTGGGCTGTGAGCTCTGGATGGAAAACACCTTCCCCAGAAGGGCCTGGACACAAAGCTTTGCAGTTTGACCTCTTGTCCACATCCTCTCCATCAAATGGTGATGGGGGGAGGCCCTGGCACAGTTTTCCCAGAGAAGCTGTGGCTGCCTCAGCCCTGGGAGTGTCCAAGGACAGTTGGAGCAACCTGGGCTAGTGGAAGGTGTCCCTGCCCATGGCAGGGGGTGGAATGAGATGACCTTTAAGTCCGTTCCAACCCAAACTGCTCTGGGATTCTATGAAACACCATTTTCTCCAGACACAACAAATTCCTCGTGTCTTTCCCAAGGAAGACACTCAGCTGCCACCTCCTCCCATCCTGCTCCTTGTTCTTCTCCTCAGGTTCTCCTCAGGGGGTGGGACACATCCACAGCTCACTAAGCCAGGCTGTCCACTTGAGTTTAGGTCTGACATTTGCTGCTATTCCAGATCTGAAAAAGGCTTCTGGAATCTGAAAAATCACTTTTTTTCCCCATCTGTATAATTAGGTCTAATAAAATATATGTAATTAGGGGAGGATTGTCCTTTTCCCTCTTGTTTACACCACATAAACCCTTTGGAGCAAGAACTGCTCCCTGAGGTATCTTTGACAGCACCTTCAGCTCTGGGGAAGGGGTTGGATTAAATGACTTCCATGGTTCCTCTGAAATTTAAATTATCCTGGTCTTGTTATGCACTGAGGCAACAGGAAATAAGAATAAGATCCAACCATGCTGCAAACTGATATTTTAAAATATGTATTATATATATACTATATATATTTTATATATTTTATATTTTACATATATAATTCATAGAATATATATTATATAATTTATGTGTGCAATACATATAACATATAATATAGATTTTATATATACTATAATATATATTTTATATAAAATCAAATATAGAATATATAAAATATATAGACTATATAAAATATATTTTATACTATATATTATATCTATTAAATATATATTTCATATATAAAATATGTAATATACTTCATATATATTCTATATACTATATATAATATATAAAATATATTATATATATTATATATACAATATATATACTATATATATAATATATATAGTGTATATATAACATATATACATATACAGTAAATCTATATTATATGCATAAATGCGTATATATCATATATGTATATATGTGTATTATAGGTGTATATAATATAATATAATATATTAATATAAAATATGTATTATATATAGTATGCATAATATATATGATATACTTTGTATACATTATATTTTTATATATATTAAATGTACATTTCAATATGTATTTTTTATATTTATTACACTTAATAGGCTTAAAAAATTAAGCTCTGAGGCTCATTTTAAGGGAGGCTTTAAGGTCTCTCTTGGAATTCAGGACAAGGATGTGGGAGATGGAAGGACTTGCTGTGCACACTCAAAGATCTGGAGCCGTGGATTCAAATGCTGATCATGGAAAATATTGATTTCTTCAGGAATTTTGGCAGGGAAAGAGATTTTATTCCATCACCTCTGCCTTGTTTTTTGCAGGAGATGGGAGGAGCTGAATGGACAAGGGAAAACGTTGCTGAAAGCGGAAAGATGCTCCAGGATTACGCTGAATATTCCCATATTTGTGCCCCCAAAACACTGACAGCTTTTTAGGGGTCACAAAGTTCTCCCTGGTCCTTTCTCCTGATTTGAAGGATCAAAACGTGGGGCCTAAAATCCGAAGTTCCAAAGTTCCTGCCTGGTCCTTTTGCTTGACTTTAAGCCCCAAAACCGCGGGGCCCAAAATCCAAAGGCCTGACGTGGAATCCGAAGGGTCGGATCGCAAAAGCTCCGGATCCATTCCGGGCCTAGAACACCAAAAAACATTCCCAAGGGCCGAGTCCTCCCAAACAGGAGACCCCAGGACAGGAGATTTGTCTTTCCTAAGCTGGACATCTGAGCTGGGCCTGCTCTGACAGGCAAGTTAGGCCTGTCCTAAGGTCTTTATTCCCACCATGGGATAGATTTCCCATGGAAACGATGTGATTGTCCCCTGAGTGATTCCAGAGGGAGCCTGGAACTGGTTTGCCAGTTCATTTGAAGGTGCCTAAATTCCAGAGGGAACTTCCCTGTAAATCCTCCTTTCAGCAGATTCTCTCAGGCTTTATTGTCTTATTTGCAGGATCCTTTCTGTTCCCGAGGGTTCCAATGATGGATTCCCGTTTGGAAAGACGGAACGACAAACCGGGAAGGTTTTCCAGCCAGTAAAAACCAAACCATTCAATCCTCAGAGTAGGGGTGACAAAAACAATGGTCACCACAGCAACCAAGGAGCAAAAAAAAAAGCACATTTTGGGCACTTTCTTCTTTGGAAATGCCCATCCATCCTATGGAACAAAAGGTGATGAGTCCCCAATGTTGGGCCAGAGGATCCCACAGTCTGATCCTGGGAATTGGAGCTGCACACTTGCACAGGAGAGAAGTAGTGGCAATAAAAACCACAAGTCTTTGGGGTGGAAATAGAAAATTGGTTGGGAAAACGCAGTCTGGGAGGGTAGACAAATAAAAATTCTGATGGTTTTGCAGCCACTTCAACCAGAAACTGCCAGGAGGAAGCGAAGCTTCTGTTTTCAAGCTCATTAATTTGAGAGGATTTGATAACTCTGCAACAGGTTCGTTTTTCTTCTAAGCTGATCCCCAGTGAAGTCGTTAAGACTTTTATTTTTAATCTCATTAATCCAGCCTGAGGGATTGATTCCCCTCCCTTCTCCGAGTCAAACAAAAAACTTGGTTTTATTTGAAACTAATTTTTTTTTTTTGAAGCTTTGGCAAACAACCCAAAATAATAATAATAATAACAATAACAATAACAATAATAATAATAATAATAATGATGATGATGATAATAATAATAATAATAATAATGTTCCCTGTTTTCCTGGCATTATTTCATGGCCATCTGACCCCTGGAATTTCCTCATTTTGAAGTGTTGGGTGGTATTTTGAAGGCAGGTGTTGGGATGAAATTAAAATTTCCACGAGACCAACCTGTGGCTCTGCCCAGCCCTGCCTCATAAACCAGGAAGGCTCCCAAACATGGAGTTTATCCCAAGATTTATAGAACAAATTCATTTCCCTTAAAGCTCCGGTGAAACATTTGTGGGTCTGCAAAAGTGTTTATGAAATCCTGCTGGTTGAACTTCCCTTTCTTGGACAGAATTAATCCAAGAGGGAATTCAAGGAGCACAAGGGCAGAGCCAATGGGAAGCACGTGAGGATTTCGGGAATAACGAACTTCTTGTCAAGGAATATCATTGTTCTGCCACGTGGGGGTTGAAACCACCCCCTTTCCCTTCATCCTCTGGTCAGAGAATAATAAAAAATCTCTTTTTTGACCTGCTGGGATGAAAATAAACCTGGCTGGGGGTTGTTATTTTGAGGTCTCCTCTCCGAGTTCCCCCTCCCCAGTTGTCTCCTCCAGGTCCTCGGAGATGGGAGTTGTTTTCCAGTGGAATCTGGGTCCAAACTGGGCGATCCAGGGCCAGTTTGTGCCGCTCCACATGGAGCTGGTCGAGTCCTGGGCAGGACAAACAAATCTGGGAGTGAATCCAGGATGGATTTGGGAGCAGGAATGACATGAGAACAGGTCCAGTTTCAAACGGGTTGACTTGGATCACTCCTGCCAGTTGGGGGCAGTGTTTCTTTCT